GACATAAAGTCGATCGGCTGTAGCAGCAACCTTTGAGATGCAGAACACTGCCCTTCAAATCGTCAAGGATTGCCTAGGTAAAACATTTTTACATCGATAATATTTCATAAATGTTTCACTACCGGTATTCCTTTGGCTCTGCAGTTGCGTATCACTGAAATTGCGGTCGCGACAATGAGCTGCTCACGTGGGCCTCTATTGTGAGGTCGGCACGGCTAAATATGTATCTTTGGTCAGAGATGTTTGGGACAGATATCTCCAAAGGCACCAGTTGAATGTTTTGCCTCTCTCTATAGGTCGGCACACTTGATGTTTTTACCTTTCATATTTACTGCTGAGATTTCGCTATTTACTTCCCCACCCCATACCCTCTCTGCTCAGTGGGTGCTGACCTTTCGAGCAGTCTATATGCGTTTGGGAATCGGAAAAGAGTCCCAGAGTTATTTGAAAATGCACGCAAATAATTGCATGACATTCAGATTAAATGTGAGTCTTTAATGATTCACCCAAGTACGTCCTGTACAGGAATGCAGGGGAAGGGTGTTGTTTGGCCTTGTTAGACTCATTTGGATGTCTGCAATTTGCAGCCTGATCACCAGAGGTCAGCAGACATCAATTTGACACTTTTATTTGCCTTGGTACTGTACATTGTCTGATGTGCAGACACCCTTCCCCTGCATTCCTGTACAGGACGGACTTGGGTGAATCATTAAAGACTCACATTGAATCTGAATGTCATGCAATTATTTGCGTGCATTTTCAAATAACTCTGGGACTTTTTCCCGATTCCCAAACGCATATAGACTGCTCGAAAGGTCAGCACCCACTGAGCAGAGAGGGGGTGGGGTGGGGAAGTAAATAGCGAAATCTCAGCAGGAAATATGAAAGGTAAAAACATCAAGTGTGCCGACATATAGAGAGAGGCAAAACATTCAAATGGTGCATTTGGAGATATCTGTCCCAAACATCTCTGACCAAAGATACATATTTAGCCGTGCGACCTCACAATAGAGGCTCACGTGAGTAGCTCATTGTCGACCGCAATTTCAGTGATACGCACTGCAGAGCTAAAGGAATACCGGTAGTGAAACATTTATGAAATATGATCGATGTAAAAATGTTTCAATATACTGCTGGATGAAGGTTCCCCATGGCACGCGCCATGTCACTTGTGGGAATTGTTTGACTTTACAATGCTGCTCAGTGCTTGTTGTTGAAGGGGTGGGTTTTCCTGGACCGTCACTGATGTTAGCTGTTGCTGGCATTCGAACCCAGATTGCTGAGTTCATGGCTCAGTGTGCTAACCGCTATGCCAGTGCGCCATCCAAGGGTACGTTGCTTGGGTAAAATTGTTTAACAAGGGAACTCATTCACCAATCTGTAACCTGTATAAACAGGTGACAGGGCAGTGTGATTTGAGATTTTTTTGAGTGAAGCATTTTTTGTTAAAGGATGAGTGATACTCTAGAAGCTATCATAACGTATTGCTCACACCACTACTGGCAGAAAGGCCTCCACTACAGGAAGCTCAAGAGAGCCTCTTTAGAGCATTTTCAGCCTCCTCTTCCACGATGGTCAGACATCGAAGAAGAGTTGGGAGTACCTGCGCTTTACCACACTGCACGTGACCTGCTATTTGCCCAACTGTGCTGTACTCATTTAGACGTTGTTGTCTGATTTTCTTGCCTTTTCTATACTTTGCACACCTATTGTGTTTTTTTGTATTGTTGTAACTTTCTGACCCGCCCCTTACTGGGCATCTGTGAAAGAGAGTTTTTAAGCTCATCGGATTCCTCCGGTATAAATACAGATTCTGCTTATGGCTGCAGCAGGGTGGAAAAACGTGCGCTTTGTCGGTAAGAGCCTCGTGAAATAATGAGCGGATGCGAATACAGCGTTTTGCTAAAGTATTAAAAACCAAAACAGGGTTTTTGTTTATTTTCGTATGACAGGCACAGGATGGTGATTTTAAGTTGTGATCGTCGTTTATACAATCTCGCCATAGATGTAATCAAACATTTTAAAAATAATTTCTTACAATATTAACTTGTAACAAAAAAAAGTAGCATTTGAATCCCCTTAGCAGATTAGTAGGTGCAGGTGCCAATTAAATCAAATGGCAATCCTCACACAGGGTGAACACGTTTTCCTGTGGAGCAAGTTGAGGCGTTGGGCTGGTACACTGACTGTCATCCGACTCGCCTCGGGTTGGTTTTTAATCGGCCAAATAAGGCGAGCCACTGGCAGTGACGCACCTACTTGGCCTCCGTGACGTTTGCACAAGAAGTTATTTTTCCAAAAGTAATCGATGGCGACTTCACAAGCCTTTTTAAGTCTTCCAAAAATTACGTAACGTAGTGTAACTTTTTTTTAGTTGCGTTTTGGGAGAAAATGCTACGTGTAGTGTTTTCTCTCCTAAATTTGCGCTCGCTCCTTTGAGTCGCCTTGTTTATTTATTTGTAAATACATTATTTTTAAAAAATAAGTGTGCAGTCGAATGTTTGTAATTAGACATCGTTTGCATTGGCACACGGTAAGTAACACGTGCAGTGTGTGTCGATCATTTTTCACCTGCTCTGCCTCGTGGTTGAAAACAATAATGTTTGAGTCTTTTTTTTACTTTTTCCAAATCTTATGTTGTTTGTGCTGTCGCCTTGGTGTCGTGAGATTAAGAATTAATTCGAGACGCTCGTAAAGCAGTGCATTGCCCCTGTGTTAGAGAACGGCCCGTGGAAGGAGATAATGCAGAACCGCTTATGAAATCCCCGAAAGTAACCACCTATCCTTTGTGTTGAACAGTCCTTTAAACCCACTCTTCTATAGGAATTGTTCGTCGGATGTTCGGTAAATCAATATTTGTAATTTTCAGAACTATAAATTGGCCACATTAACAGAGAAAGCAAAGTTAATGTGGTGAGGTTGTTTGCGTAGTCATATGAAACTGGGCTGGAATCACATGTCTGTATTGACTCAGCCCTGCAGGATTGTTCGTCAAATACTTTCTCAGTGCTTGGCTGGCAATCCTTTCAATGCTAAACTTGTATTATTATACATATTCCAGATTTAATATGGTCCCTTTTTTAAATGAACTGATCATTGAAATGCAGTGTGCTGTTAAGAGTCTGGTGCTTTTCTTCTACTGTTTTTTGTTGTTTTGTTTTAAATATTTCCGTTCTTATCGTACCGCTTCGTGGACTTGGAGGACTTCAAATGTTATTGAATTCTCAACATGTTGCAGATAACACTTGGCCAAGAATGCCTTCATAACCTTGACTTGATAAGCCATTCAGTGACACTCAAGACGGATGCAGCCTTATCGCCCCCACGTGATTTCTCATCTCCGTGCTAGCAGAAGCATTACGGTTGGCGTGATAGAAAGCACCAAATGAAATGCTTCAGGACAACTGCTCATTTCAGCGGTCGTTTACTTAGTTTAAGGTTACTGGGTCACCCTGCTGGCATCTCAGCAGGGGTTGCACCAAGCCAATAAGCCACTGTAATGCTCGAAAAGAAAAGCAAAACAAATATTTAGTCATTGTGATTGTGTTTTTTTAAATAGCTAAAAAATAGCCGCAAGGAGTGGTCATCTTTTGAGAACCACAATATAGAAAAGCATCAACTTATTTGAAACATTTCCATATTCAGGTAGTTATCCAACGACACTTAAAATATAAAACAATGAAAGAAATAATAATCTCTTGTTAGTCTATTATGCTTTTCACATGGTCTATTTTTCCCCCTCTGTTCTACTAAAATAATAGGTGGAAGTAAAAAAAAGAGAAATACTGTCCAAATAACTATTTGATCAATTCTGGAATTCAATCAATGATTAATGTTTACTTTCTTCCAGTGCCTTGTGTGATGAATTCTTGGCATCCCGTTGTTGCGTTCTACCCCAGAGATGGTCTGGTCTGGGACTCTATTCGCTTGTTGAGCCCCAGGATGCCGTTTTGAAAAACGAAGCCCTCCCCGCTCGCTTTCGCAGCCAATGGGACCCAGAGCAGTGATGTCACCTGGCAGGCGAGCTGGGTCCGGCCCTCTCTTGGAAGAGACCAATTTTGGCAGGGACACGGGTGGGAGAGGGGAGGTGTCCGGTGTTCTCTTACAATGACGTGGTGCCAGCATCAACAGCAGCTGCAGGCAGCTTCTGTCTGCCCCCCTCCACACTGCTCTCGCATCTAAATAATTCACGGTGCATCACTTTTGCGTTCCCCCACCCCTCCCGTAGCCATGGGGAAAACCAATGTACGCTCTAAAACGGACACCAAAACGCACGCAGCTTCTCGCCAACACCAAAAAAAAACTACGCGGCGAGTTGCTTCGAGCGTGTAGGACGTGTTTTGTTTTTGTAGCCGCAGCGTTAAAGATTTGAGGGTGTGTGTGCGTGAGAGTTACACACACACTGTGTGTGCGTTAGAGTTACACACACACTGGGTGTGCGTGAGAGTTACACATACACTGGGTGTGCGTGAGAGTTGCACACACACTGGGTGTGCGTTAGAGTTACACACACACTGCGGGGCGAAGTTGTGTGTGGTGTGTTTTGTTGGTGAGCGCGTTTGCTTCCAAGTGGGGGGTAGGAGGTAGTAGCCCCCCCCCCCCCACGTGGTAGCCCCCCCTCCCACGTGGTACCCCCCCAACCCCTCGTGGTACCCCCCTCCCCCCTCGTGGTACCCCCCTCCCCCCTCGTGGTACCCCCCCTCCCCCCTCGTGGTACCCCCCCCCCACGTGTCACCCCCCCCCCCCCCCCACGTGTCACCCCCCCCCTTCCCTCTCCATTCCCCCCTCCCTGTAACCCCCCCCTCCCACGTGGTGCCCCCCCCCCCCCTCGTGGTACCCCCCCCCCCACGTGTCACCCCCCCCTCCCTCTCCATACCCCCCTCCCTGTAACCCCCCCTCCCACGTGGTTCCCCCCTCCCCCTAACGGACAGACGTGGGGGGGGGGAGTGGGCGTCACCAACCCCCCCACCCCCCACCACCACCCAGCGGACGGCGTCGTGAGATCCTCTCTCATTCAGTGCTGAGCGGTGGTGGTTGTCGGGTCGAGCGAGAGAGCGAGAGAGCGAGCGAGCGATGACTGCCCAAGGTTAAGAGGAGGAGGTGGGGGGCAGCCGCGCCTTGAGCACAACGACAACACGGGACGCGCCTGTACCGGGTAGGAGACGACGGCGACGACGACAAACTCTTGTTTCAAACGGGGAGCGGCTGTTACAAATTCAAATTCCATAACCCACTACTCCCTCCTCCAGCCCGGCACGCCTCTCACCACCACCACCCACCATCACCACCCACCACCACCACCGCCGTCTTCTTCTTCTTCTCGAGTTCGCTTCGTGAGTTGTCAAACTCTCTCCGTTGTTGGGAGAAGCGAGCGCCACGGGGAGTTTGTTCACTCGGGCTACCGGCGGCGGTGCGTCCCAACACGTGGAGGAGGAGGTGGTGGTGAAGGTGAAGGAGGTGGTGGAGGAGGAGGTGGTGGTGAAGGTGAAGGAGGTGGTGGAGGAGGAGGTGGTGGTGAAGTGGAGGAGGTGGTGGTGAGGAGGTGGTGGTGAAGGAGGTGGTGGAGGTGGTGGTGAAGGAGGTGGTGGTGAAGGAGGTGGTGGTGGAGGTGGTGAAGGTGGAGGTGGTGGTGAAGGTGAAGGAGGTGGTGGTGAAGGTGAAGGAGGTGGTGGTGAAGGAGGAGGTGGTGGAGGAGGAGGTGGTGGTGAAGGAGGAGGAGGTGGTGAAGGTGGTGGTGGTGGAGGTGGAGGGGTCCCCGCTTCTTCTCCTGCGGAGTTGCCTGTGAACGAGGTGAAGAGCCACTCTCTCCCCCCCCCCCCCCCCCAGTGCTTCTCTCGTGCCCAGGTGGGTTGGGGTGCTGCCGGCTTGGGGAGTTCACCTGCGGCGTGTGCGGCTACGGCACGGGGGGTGTGGTGTTCCTCGATGATGTTTCCAATGATTCGTGTGAGTGTGAGTGAGTGATTTATTCACTTAGCAGTGGGTCCGTGCACGGTGCTGTGTGGGCTGTGATGACCCCGGTGACCTGGGGTTCGTTCCTGCCCGTGATGGTGTACATTGTCACCAGTCGTTAGTGGCCCAAGTTGTCACCTTGCTTGGACTTTACCAAGTTGTTGGTCTGATCATCATCATCATCAGCCACTTGCTGAAGGTCTCAACCCCAAGCGCTTGACATCACTCAGTCTTACGATGTCACCTGGTTTCATTGCTCCATCTCCATGGTTGAACATCTTGTCGGGCACGTTCACTCATTTGGCTGTCACTGCCTTTGTTAGTCTTGAACCTTCCTTGCTCAAAGTCTTTTCATGTGATGTGTGTTCCCCTGTTGAACTTCTTTCGCATCGTACGTAGCCAACCGTGCTAACATTCCACATGATGTCTCTAATGTGTGTGTGTGTGCATCGATCTTTATCAGTAATCCCAATCACGCACCACTCCACGCTTTTATATTGTGTTCCATCTTATTTCGTCAATTATCCAGCCCTTTGATCCACAATGTCACAGCAGGTAATCGACTGTATACTCAATTAAACACATTCTTCTTTAGCCAACATTGGTACGTTGCTTTTCATGATTCGCATCTTCTCTCTATTGTGTCTGTGTGGTAATGAGCACTGGTATTAGGGAAACAAAACATTAGATGCTGGCTTCGTTAACCCTCCCCCTTCGTGTGTCTCACACACTGGCCTGAGTTGATGTTCACTGAAATAGACTTCCCTGGCTGTGTGTGGGGTTAAATGAGATGCTATTGTTTCACCGTTTGATAGCGAGTTTAACTTGGGCTGTGCTATTTGGATGACCTTTTTTCCTGTTTTGGAACCGTAGAAATTGTGAATGTTTCTCAGATGCGTGGGTTAATGCAAGGTAAAACAACTTCGGTTACATGAAGTGTTGTCAAAATGTCTCTTGTGCCTTGTAACTAACATTACATTGGTGGTGGCGTGCTATAGGATGAGTGTTCCCCCCCCCCCCCATGTTATCTCTGTCCTGCATACATGGGACGATTAGTTGTAAGCATCCATTGTTATCAGCGCCGTTAATAGATCATCCCAGTCCAATAGTCCGTTTTGACATTTTAAAGAATGTTCTACCCGACGATTTCTTTGTCTCGCTTGTTGACAAATTCATATTATGGGGATCGAGTACACAGTAATAAAGTCGTCGTAGAGTCAATGAAAGTGCACTTTCGAAGGTGCCCTTAGTGCCATTTTTATGCAAAGGAACTTCGTGACGTGCAGTATTCGTGTAAAGATTGACGTCGTTATGCGGTCAGTGGTTATGGACAGGTTTCGGCAACCAAAATAACAAGAAGAGCCATTAAAATATCGGTAAAAAAATGTCTCAAAGTCGCAATGCACGTGAATACGAGATTGGTGGTCCTTCATACAATAACGCCACGAAGCGGTGCTTAAAGAGCCACATGCGGCTCGACTCCTCGTTATGGCCAAACTTTGCTCTTCCATTGCAGAAGAAAATTTTAAAATACCCATTACCCCTTGAAGATAATCTCTAACAACACACGACAGCCATAATACCATGGTAACATCATGAGTGTGTGAGACCAAGCTCTCTGTAACAGTCTAGAATCGGGAGTGGGTGTGTTTATTTGGAGGGGGAAGACAGGCAGCAGTGGCGGTGGCATGTGTTGGGTGAGTGAGTGAGTGGTTTGTGGGATGGCCTGGTAAGTGGTGGTGTCTGCTCTTTGCCTGGCTCTTGTGAGCCGCGCAGGCAGTGAACATATGTGGCTTGAAGGCCCCCTCTGGCAGACGGAATGTTTACTTCTATCGCAGTGGGGCAGGCAGTCGTCGCACTTAATGCCTAAAAATAGCCGGGTAATTGCACGGGAGCAAAACTGTGCCCAGTGTCCACCGGGCAGTGGCTTTTGTTGATGCTGACGAGTGGCGATTTTGTTTTAATGTAACGGGCAGTTTGCACCCCAGTGTGACCGGTGGGTGCTTACACAGCTCGCTCTCTGCTTAGGGTGGGTTGTTCCACATACGTTACGCTTGTGTATGGGTGTGTTTATATACGTAATGAATTTTCCATGTCAAATAAATATATGTACTTAGGCGCCTATCCAAACATACAGTTACATACATAAGAGTCGGTCAACGTTGTGCGAGTGTGATGTTCAAAGTATACACCAACTCGTCACTTGATTGTTTGTATTTCAATGTGGACTTATAAACAATCGTTAAACTTCAAATCTTATAAATAATCCTATTGTCAGGTCGTTTTTTTTTCTCTCGTACTGTGGTCATTCGCAGACTTTTTCTGCAATCTTGTGTGTGTGTAACTATGGTGAGCATTGCAGCAGTGTTTTTGTGTTGCACCATGAACCCGGCAACCAAAGTGTGATTCTGAGCCACACATAACACGAGACAAGTGGTATCTGAACTGGCCTTGGACCAATACCCATAGAGGTGCTGTTCTAATCTTAATGCGTGGTCACTAACATCACTTCCTCCCAAAGGTCTCGAAAGCCATAGGGATACTGTACTATATATGGACGACGGTAACACCATTTATCAAACACAGCAGTGAGCTGGGGTCGTTTAGGCATCATAACAACTTGCTGCTGTGTGAGAATATATAACATTGCAAATTATGATTTGGTTCTTTCGGTAAAGTCACGTAGAAAGAAATTAAAATAAATAATAGAAGACGACGTTTCGCTTGCAACACAAGCAATCGTCATCAGGTAGAACTAAGTTTGAGAGAGAGACAAAACACAGACAGAGACACACAGACAGACACACAAGCAGAGAGAGACAACACAGACACACATACAACATAGACACACAGAGACTATGTTGTGTGTGTCTCTCTCTGTGTCTCTGTGTTGTCTCTCTCTGCTTGTGTGTCTGTCTGTGTGTCTCCGTGTCTGTGTTTTGTCTCTCTCTCAAATTTAGTTATACCTGATGACGATTGCTTGTGTTGCAATCGAAACGTCGTATTCTATTATTTATTTTCTTTCTACGTGACTTTACCGAAAGAGCCAAAGAGTAATTCCTGCAGTCACGAAAGCTTCAAATTAAAATCAAGTTTGATTGCAAATTATGTTTAGGTTACATTTTGTGATTCCAGTACGGTGTATGGTTCCGTGTGCCATGCTCTAACTCTACCATGACACTACATATGTACATGTCAAGCCATTTTTGTCAATTCACTGCTGAATGAGGGCCTCCCTCCCCATGCCGTGCGGGTTCCACAGGTTGTTTGACGATACTTCATGGCGGTCAATGCGGGTTGTTGAAAAATAAATCGCACTTCCGATTAGCACGGTTTGGTACGTAGGGTGCGAAAGAAGTTCAGCATACCTACATAGATATAAAGTACAACAATGGGTTTTATATTTCTGCACTTGCGCTGCTGCTCACAGTGTAGCCGGCATGTGTCAGCTGTTTTTGGTGATCTCTCTCACTATTCGCATCTGCGTTAATCCATGTGTGGGCCCGGCATGGTCGAGGGAATGGGACCGTGCATGCTGGGTCAGCGGAGAAAGAAGGGCACGATAGGGGTGAGTGCACTCGCTTCCCATGTGGGGATATCGGGTAGTCTTCTTTCTTTTAAAAATAGCCATGCGGCAGCACAGTGCGTCTGTCGCAATTGTCACATGCCCTTGGTGCCGGTTTGAGATAAGATGGTAGCTTTGCATGCATGGAACAATGCCTGACGTCTCGGCGCTGTTGTCAATCTAGGGGCACTTGCGGTTGCAGACACTGCAATCAACAGAGATTGCCTGGCGTTTTAATTCTTGCCTCGTCGTGCACGAGCGAGATGGATTGTTCCATCACGTGACACTGAGGGTTGGTTGATGGCATAGGGGGGGAGCCCTTCATTCAGCAGTGGATAGCTATTGGCTGATGTTCTCTAAAATGACTACTAGTGCTCTCAAGAGTAATAGTTTAACACCCCGGTCCTTCCTTAGTTCAGGAACATAGTTAAATTAAATAATATATTTTAGTTTTCCTCTAGTGGCTGCAGGGCTCACATGAATATTTTGCATTTTACATATACCTATGGAAAGCTTCCAAGGTATACAAGCGCGAATCGACACATCTAGAGTGCATTAAGAGAATCGATTATTGACGGTCTGTCAGCCATAGCACAGTGATGCATGTGTCAGAGGTGATTGCAAAACATTGTTTACATCGAGTATACTGAATAGTCTGGAGGGAGGTTCCAAGGTCCAATCTGTTTTGAGACGCGAATGACGCTAGTTATTGCCTAACATTTGTTGTTGCGTAGAGTGCAAATATACAACAGATTGTATGATATGTATGACAGATGTAGGATTTTAGCCATGAACTTCATCAAACTCCTCCATGAGTCG